TATAAAGTAGAACGTTTTCGTCGATTTTACACAGGGTGAGTATGGCAACACTGTGCATAACCTTGTATTTTACGTCTTTATGAAGGTTATAATAGGGAGTTTTCGCATTGAAATGTAGTGAAAATTTGGAATTTTCAATTATTTTTTTTCGTAGAAAAAGTGGTTCATCCAACAATTTTTTTCTTTTAAACCATTCCATTAACTATGGGATCCACATTAAAAATTAAAAAAACCACGATTTCGTGGGGACCTGTTCTGCACAAGACCCTTTCATGCTTTTCATATTAAATGCCCAATCTGTAAAAATATTGGCCAATGCCGAGATTGAGATGTTCGCATCCAAAATGTAGTTTCTATCTTTTATAAAGTCCATAAACTGTTTCCATACATTACTGGTGATTAATTATAGTGTTTTGGACTTACTTTCGGCAACTTTTTCTTGAATTGCAGTTAAAGAATCGTTTCCAAATCGAGACATTTTTAGAATACCTATTAAAAATATTTTACGTCTGAGTGTCAAATGTGTCATTGACACTTAGACATGCACTTAGACATTCTGCGGGAAATTTTCGCCGGGTATTTTTCGATTTTAGCGGGCAATTTTCGCCGACAATTACCCGCTTCATATGGGATTTTTTGTACATGTGTGAAATATTCGATTTTACATCCTACTCTAGCTGATAAGAGGTTACTTTCGATAACAATATTAAAATTTCAATCACCTGATGTTTCGTATTCGTTTGTACGTAACGCAGGATGAAAGTAATTTAAAATGCTCTTCCTTTGGCCAAAGACCTTCGCTTCAAACGCTTATTCTTGCCGATAGAAAGTGGCGACGTCCGAGTGAAAGTGAAAATAATACATATTTACATCAGATTTACATCACATATTATGCCTTACAGCTATCTAAACAATATAAAACAGAGATTTTGATAATTCGAGAACTTGCTCATTTGAATATCATTTCTTTTTTTGATTTTTTTGTTGCTTATACGTCAGTTTGACTTACCTGCTTCAGTAGCGTATCAAATGTTTGTGTTAATAAATAATTATTATAACTTATCTATTATATTTTTATTAGAATTTTATATTTTTATAACAATTTTAATAACTACCAAATTTTATTCACAACGTAAAATAAAAAACAAATTATTGAGTCTACCCCACGTATACCCTACATCACAGTTTTACATTTTTTAAATAAAATTAGAACGGCACTAATAAACCGGAATTTAAAATGGGCCATATTTGAGTCCCATCGCGGTGGACCTAAATGTTTTGATATGCTCCTTCCTTAATCTTTTTATTCAAAGGTAAAATTATATGGGAAATGTCATCGATCGTCATTTCATGGCCATCGCTGACGCCGTTTTTATTCGATATATTGCTCATGCATCTGTAGATATTGGTAATGTATGGCAATCGCTTCTTTGATTTTAAAGAACATAACATAAATAAACATAACAGACGTAAAAATTAAAAATAATCATACAGAAAGTTTGGGGCGTTTTGGTTTTACCTTATTAAGTAATTGTTATCAGGTAGTAATTGTTAATTTTGAAGTTAACTTGATATAATGTCATTTTAACAGAACGTCAACGGTTTTTGTAGACATATTTGTTGCAATACCTCAATCAATCGTAATTTATGTCATATACTAACATAACAAATCTCGTTTTTTTTTATCTGAAAAATAAAAGTTATAGGGGTGAGCCACTTTCGAGACGCACCCGGTATAGTTGCAGCTATAGTATTTTAGTACGATTAAATTAAATATCATAGAGATCAGTAATGGCTATAAAATGCCGCATGATCAAAAATTTTATAATCAAGCAGGCTTTGATTTTGACAATAATTACAATATATTGAAATGGATTAAGTGGCATTAATTATTATGGTATTACCATCGAATAACTAAATATTATTATATTTATTTAAATAACGACGTAATCATTGGCCCACGACTTTGATTGTATTCTTCAAAGTAAAGATGAAAGATTTCTCTTTCTTACAACATACTCGTACTTAAAAATTTGTATATCCGTAATGTGCATATGCTAATACTTGGTGACATAAGAAAGAGAATCAGTCTTCAATAGAAAGTTACCAGATTGTATTCTATTTAAATATTAATTTAAAGACTAAAGCCGAAGCTATTAAACAAATACCATTGAAATTGGATATATCGTCCTATTGCTGCCAAAAGTCACTAACTAACATTTTTCCGAACAACCAAATTCAATCACTAACTATGTTTTGAAGCGGAGAATCGATTGCAAAAGTCATTAACTACGATTTCTGGCTATTTACCGTACGTCTGTCCGTTCTATAGCTACGGGGTATCCGTGAGAGGGGAAACGTTATTCTCTCGATGTTTTTCGTAAAAAATTAGACGACGCGTCTCATCAATAAAAATTCGCCAAATTTGCAAGTAGCCAATAAAATGAGTGGGCGGAGCGATTTGCGGTGACGTACTCGTCAAGTCGGCGAATAAAATATATTGTTGTTTATTTAAATGTTTTTCGTCCGCATTCCTTTCATAGACACAGATCCAGCAGATGTACTGTATGTTTTATTTTAATACCGAATAGTTACTAACTATAACATCTTTATGCAATGCAATTCATCTTTAGACGCATTTTTCTCGGAAGTAATAAAAAGTAAGTTAGTGACTTTTGGCAGCAATGGGGCGATATTATATTTAGTAAAAATAACATAAAAAACTTGTTAAAAATAACGTTTACATGGAAACATATATTCGATACCAATAAAACTTTTGGTTACGTAATCGGGGGCGCGAATTTTAAATTCATTGATGCTAACCATGGACATATTCGACGACGGGCTGACTAACTGGAATCTAAATGTCCCGCTGGGGATTTAGGTGGTAGCTCTGCTGTAAAAAATGCCAAGTTTCCACGTTTAATTTATTTATTTCCTGACATTTTGTCATTCGTTTTGATACTATAGTTTTCTATTACGAGTTTTTGGTTTAAATGCATTACGTTGTGATACTTTAACCTTAAAAATTTTTACTAGCAGACCTTGCAGTCGAACATTGTTCTTTTTAGAATCTCTTTTAGTGCGAAGTGTACAAGATAGCTTAATAGCTGTTGCAAAAAACACAACGCAACTTTATTAGAATATTTTAAACGGGACAGCGGTAGTAATGCCCCTATATATTCCTTAAATGCTGTTAAGGAGGTGAGTTTTTAATAGGGATCAATCCCAGAGTTATTTTATCGTTGAACGTCATTTGAAAAACCAGTCTGACGTTTTTTTCGTATTGTTATTAATGAAAAACAAGTAGAAAATTTTAGCTAAGTGACTTTTTGTATTAAACCAACGCTATTATATTTACAAAAAGGTGTTTTACGTAAATTAAACAAGATCTAATTGTCGTTTAATGAGTTATACGAGTATATTTTTTTAATCCTGTAGCCTATAATTAAAGAACATTATCAATCTAATTTTGAATGTTACTTTGACAAAAAAATAATGTATATAAAATAGGGACCTACGAAATTTGACCGAAAACAATTATTATTGATCTAAGCATGATAAAATTTATTGTATCGTGCTTTCGTAAGGATAATTAAAAAATATTTAGATTTAACATATTACTACTTTTTTTTATTTGCACTTATTTAAGGCTCACCCTGTATATACAGGGTGATTCCTGTAAGTCGGTCATGCTTTCGGGGAATGATAGGGGACATCGAAATATTAATTTTGATATAGCACATTATGGGTCGGAAATGCCTCTTACGCAAGATACAGGGTGTTAAAGTTTTAGAAAAATTAAAGATATTCTTTAATGGTTTTTTAACAGTTGAGGTATCGTTATAAAATTTCATTATAGGAGTCTACCTAACAGAGACACTTTAAATGTAAAAAGAAGAGGTTTTAGTTTCAACCAGTGGCGTAGATGTGATACGCATCAGGTAATTTTTCTCAAAAAAATAATACGCCACTGACAAAAATAAAAATTTCGGAGTTTTTTTTATTTACTCGTTTTATTTCCAAGAAAAAATGTCTCTTGCAACTTTCTCCTATCTAACACCATTTTGTCACAATTTAAAAATAAATCAATTTTTAATGAAAATCTTAATACAGCGAATTATTATAACTAGAGGGCAGAAACACATGTGCATCGTTAGCTCCCTTCATCTTGGGTAATTTTGGTACTTTTTACTATTAGCTCTAAATAAATTTTTAAAAAATTATAAATTTAAACTAGAATTTTTTTTGTATTGTTAATAATAAAGTTCTTAGTTTTAAGGTAGTTATAATAATTCGCATATTTAAGGTTCTCATTAAAAAAATATTTATTTTTAAATTGTGACAAAATGGTGTTAGATAGAAGAAAGTTGCAAGAGACATTTTTTCTTGGAAATAAACCGAGCAAATAAAAAAACTCAGAAATTTTTATTTTTATCAGTGGCGTACTATTTTTTTTTGAAAATATTACCCGATGCGTATCACAGCTACGCCACTGATTGAAACTAAAACCTCTTCTCTTTACATTTAAAGTGTCTCTGTTAGGTAGACTCCTATAATAAAATTTTATAACGATACCTTCAACTGTTAAAAAACTATTAAAGAATATCTTTAATTTTTCAAAAACTTTAACACCCTGTATCTTGCGTAAGAGGCATTTCCGACCCATAGTGTGCTATATCAAAATTAATATTTCGACGCCCCCCATCATTCCCCGAAAGCATGACCGACTTACAGGAATCACCCTGTATATAAAATAGGGACCTACGAAATTTGACCGAAAACAATTATTATTGATCGAAGCATGATACAATTTATTGTATCGTGCTTTTATAAGGATAATTAAAAAATATTTAGATTTAACATATATTACTACTTTTTTCTATTTGCACTTATTTAAGGCTCACCCTGTATATCTAAGTTACTGATTTCTGTAGCAGCATTGCTAGAGAAATTTTATTATAATTTTTTATTAGATTAAATTTATTTCAATGTTTCAGGTGGTGTCCTTTTAACTGCAACCCCCCTCAACCCTGTAAACGTCCAAAAGGTTTAATAAAAAAATATTTATTACAAATAAACAACCAACAAAAATATAAATACTTTTAAAACATTTTATTTAAACAGATAAACAATAAAATATTTAACAATATAACTGGGAGTTTGATTTAAACTAAAGACAACTATGTAATGATACCGAAATACTAATTCCATCCTAACCAGAAGCATATTATCTATTTTATCAATAATATTAAATTAAGTAGACTGGCATCATAAATATAATTTTTGCAGTAACAAATTCTTTTTCAATTTTTGGTGTTTCTTAAAGCTTTGATTTGATTGACAAGAACAGAATAAATAGGTTCTTGGTCCATATTAATAAATTTCATTTCAATAAAAATTATATATTATAATTTAATACATTGCACAACACCTACACATGATATAATTATCAAAATAATACTAATAACCCAAGAATACAAAATGATATTTTTAAAAAATCCTGTGGCAATCACCTGCTCATTAAAAAAGTTCAAAATTTTATGTTCGTATTATCTAATTTTTAGTAAATCAGACAAAGTTGACTCATTAATTACATATTAAAGATTCTACTGATAAGAAAAAGATATAAACAAAAACGCAGTAAAGTAAAAAGATCTTTTAACAAGAAACGTAAATATAATTCGGAATTTTTAATAAAACTAATGTATAATTAATTGTTTGTAAATAAAAATTAATAGATCTGGTTCATTTAATTCTAGTTCATCTTTGAAAATAATTAATACATCTTGGTGTACAAGGTGGCCCGAATTGTATTTGGGAACCTTGGCCAGCATATTTTGCAGATAAAAATAAGTAAAAAAGTTCGTATAAATGTCTTAAAATGCTTCGTTTCGGAGATACAGGGTGTGGAAGATTCATTTTTATTTCGATTTTTTCGGGAGATATTTGGAATCGAAATAATCAATACATCTCATCATTGACATAAATTAAACATGTTGACTAGATAGTTATTGGACTGAAATAATAAATTTGAAATGTTTTTGTGCCAAAGATTCAACAAAAACTGTTTTATCATAATTTTTTCGAAAAAAAATTGTGATTAATTTAAAAAAAAATAAAAAGTACCTAAATTTATCGTTTCAGTCAAATAACTATTTACTCAGCATGTTTATTTTTTGTCAATGAAACGTATTGACTATTTCCATTCTAAATATTTTGATAACCGTTGCTCGTAGCGATCTTTACCAAGAGATATTTTTACGTAAAAATCACGGAAAAGTATATTTTTCAGCCAGTAGTTTTATATAGGTACGGATGAAAAGTTATTACTCTTCAAAACAGTTAAAAAACATGTAGGTGGCGCATCCTATAGTAGGAGACATTTTGACATCGATGACATCAAATTTCTCACGTCAAAGAACACCCAGACATCAACTTTTATCCAATTATCAACTATAGTTCAGAAAATATTTGGAAAAAAAGGAAATAAATATAAAATTTCAAAACGAAGTATGTTGGAACATACATTTATACTTATACACACATTTTTACTTATCTGCAGAATATGCTGCCAAAGTCTCCTGAATATAATTCGAACCACCCTGTATATTGCCTATCAAATATGTAAAATATACATAATACTTTCTATTTTCACATCACGCGATGTCTTGGTGACTTGAGTGAAATATATTTTTGATTAAATAATCATAAATTAATACATTGATAAGGGTAACCTAGAGAATTACTTTTTATATTTACTTGTCATAAACCAATAAAACATCTAAATCAATATTTTAACTAAAATAAACCTACAAAATAATTTTTTCTATGAATGGCCATTAGTTAAAACTTTTTTACCTACTGTGTCATAAGTTCTCCTATGCAGTTGATCAATTCTAGCCAAATAATAAGTACCAGGAGTGAAATATGATATGTCACCTATTGGTTCATAGGGAGCTTTATGGGCACTGTGCTGCCTTAGTTCCAGAGTACTTTCAAAGTCCTTTGGAGCTACTTTTGTTCTTTTTTCAAGCAACGGCTTGACGTAACTTAGACTAGTTTTGATTTTTTCGAGAGAGGAATCGTTTGAATTTCTTATTGTGAGGGAAAAAAACGATGAGGCTAGTCCAGAACCATAAGAAAACAATGCTACTTTGTTACCAATCAGTTCAGGTAAATCTTTAGAAACTAAGTATGATATTAGACCACCATATAACGAGGAAGTATACATGTTTCCTACCTGACTTGCTATTAGAAGTGACGGTTTGGTTTTCTGAGCAAAAGCTTCATTACTGTAAGCTAGAAAAGCTTTTTCAATATCTCTATCAAAATATGACTCTTCTAGTTTAACATTAACAAATCTCTCTGAATTAGGATATAATTGTTCTTTTTTGTCATTAGATACTCTATAAAAATCATTTAAAGCTAACCTTCCTACCGATTTTTGAACCAACTTACAGTATGGTGTATGAAACAATATTCCGTCGAAAGAATTGATGTTTATAGGCGTCTGTAACCTCTTTTCTACACTTTTACAGTAAGACTGGTAACACTGATCTAAAGCTTCTAAATAACACTGAACAGAAAGTTTCCCATCCACTACAGGATACTCGGATGTTAAGTCCGGTTTATAGAAGTCGTAGGCGTGTTTGCAAAAGAATCCTCTCACTCCCCTGTCGAATACTAACGGTGCGTTGGGGCCCAATAGCATAGCTACTGCTCCAGCTCCCCCTGTAGGTCTTGCAGCCCCTTTAGCGTAGACTGCTATATCAGCAGCCACAACTAAAGCATAGCGACCGTTCCATGCTGAAGATTCCAACCATGATAGTGCATTGAACAAGGCCGCGGTACCACCAAAACAGGCGTTGGTAGTGTCAATCCCCTCAATGTCTGTTACACCATGCGGTGTAAAAAGTTGCATCAGCACACTTTTCACGCTTTTAGATTTATCGATTATTGTCTCCGTTCCTACTTCAAGTCGTCCAATTTCTTGGGGTTTTATGTCGTAACGGTCCAGTAAGTTCTTTACCACCGTCAAACACAACGAGTTAATGTCTTCTCGGTCACTGCAGAATCCCATTCTTTGTTGTCCCAAACCGATCGTGTATTTTCCAGCCGAAACTCCGTCATATTGTTCCAACTCCGTTTGGTCCACGTACTGAGATGGAAAGTATATTTCCAGGGCTAGAATGCCAACGTTTTCCGGCCAAGAACCCATAGGAAAAAGCTATTTTTATAACAGGCACTTTATAATTGTTACAGCTTGAATAAGACACGGTTTTGCTTGACTTATTGAATGTTGAAAATCACAGATAGTTTTTCGGAACAGAACAATTTTGGTACTAACTGTTTAGAAGGAAAGTTTGAATCGAACAAATATATTTTCACTTCTCTGGGCTATCTAAAAAGTGAAATTTTCCCCCTACCATAACACAAGGATCATTATCATTAACCTTACTTTATCTTCTCAAGCAAAACTTGAGGCATAAAAATAAAAAGTTACCTCAACATGGCTAGATATCCAACTATAAAAATAAAAGAAGATGAATTCATCCTAACCCTATTTTTAAACGTCAAACTGATAACAATTACAGAATTTATTTTTTGTTGTGTGTTAATCAAATAATTAACTTATATTTGTATATTTAAGTTTAATTTATATTAAAATGACCGATTCTAATTCATCTACAGACATATCTGTTCACCAACGGCGTAGAAAGAAAAAGACTGTAAGGAAATCGAATAGTGAACCATGTTTAGCAGATAAGAATGATGTAGATATTAATACACAAAGATCTATTGCCTTGAGTGAAGAATTGTTAGAAAAACTTAGTGATTTACCAGAAGTTCGTAAGTTTATTGAAAAATTACAGAAAATAATACAGAAACAAGTTAAGAAAATCATGAAATGGAAGGCAAAAGCTAAAGAGGTCAAAGCAGGGGTAAGGTTTATAAGTTTTTAGCCATAAATGTATATAATTCAAGTACTTTTTCTTAGAATAAAGCGAGGGATGTTGGTAGTCAAACTGAATTTGGCTATAATACTCTCAGGGATGACATTAGTTTAAAAACGGATACTACCAAAGAGCCTGAAACAAAACAAGAAAAAAGTTTGGCAGATGATATTCGAGAAGCAGCAGAAGAAGCAGTTCAGTCATCTGGTTTTGTATTTGAAGCCACATCAGGGTTGTATTATGATTATAACAGTGGATACTATTACAATGCTGTAAGTTTGTAGAAATTGTATACATACAAGTTCACAATAATGTTTTATGTTTTTTAAGGAATATGGGTTGTATTATGACGGAACTACAGGAACTTATCTAAAATATAATGAAGAAACACAAAATTACGAGTTTCATTCTCAAGTATCTGTACCTGAAGCTGAACCCAGTAAAGCTACATCTGTTCCAAAGAGAAAAAATAAAATTGATCGGAGAAAAAAAGTATAATAGTATTTAAAAAAAATGTAGTTAATTTATAGGTTTATATTGTAGGTAAACATGCATTACCCTATGGAGAGTCTTACTAGTAATTTTAGTAAAATGAACATATATAATCTACGAACCACGGCCCTTGGTACGTATAAAAAAAGTAAAAAGATCCTTATTTGCAGGATGCCAAGCGCTCTCGGAGAGATACGGATGATTTTGAAGAAGGAGAGTACACTGACAGCAGTATAAGTTCTAGTCTGAGTAATGAAGATGGGGGCAACTCTGAATCCAGTGGTATTTAGTTTTTTTTTCTAGATTTTTTTTATTCCAAAAAGGGAACGACAGTGTATATTGAAATGAAATTTTGTGAGCATGTGTAGGATAATTTAGAGCATTTTTTTTATAAATGTATCGAGTTCTACAGGGTGTCCCCAGAAGAAATTACACAATGAAATTGTGTTTTTTATAATTGCAACCCTATCCCAAGCAACACACAATGGTATATTATACGTTTAAACTGTTCTAATACCGTCCGTCTTATCTAGGTATACGACAAAGAATGTGAAACGTATAATAAACTGCAAAATGTCCGCGCTTCAATGTATATATTTAAGGTTTCTATATTCCTTTTATAATCGTATATACATTTACCAATAATATACAAACGTATATTAGCAATTTATGATATACTAGGATCACACGTAGACCAAATACGTGTATTAAATGTTATTTTTCTTTATAAATTTATACATGAAATAGAACCGTTTCTTAAATGTTATTTTTACATACAAATTTATAGGTATCCAGGAAATGAAATTTAGTAATATAACCACCTAGCATTATCGTTTTTCATTAATATGAAGGATTTTTGAACCAGTATAAACAAACCTTAGGTTACTTAAGAAATGCTACATAATATGGTGACATAAATTATACCCTATAGCCCCTTTATATAACATAATATTGCAATCTTTAAGTAACCTAAAATTAAAAAGTTTGTTTTTACTGCTTCAAAAATTCTTCCTATTAATAAAAACAATAATGCTAGGTAGTTAAATTACTACATTTAATTACCTAATACAATTTTTATGGTTAATGGTAGGATTTTTAATGAATAAGTATAAAAAACTGAATTGGAAATCTTCTTTAATAACATCTTAAAAATTGGAGACATATACCGTACATTACTGAAATAAAAATACAGGGTCCGGCAATAGTGCGTCGGGCATCTGTAGCTCCTAGAATAAAATACTTGAGAATTTTGTTTTAGTGCAAACCTAAAGTATATACCAGGATGTATTTCAGGAAAATATTTTAACTTCTATAGGGTGGCTCAAAAAAGTGTCAGTGGACTTGGATGATTTTTTTAAACGGAACACCCTGTATATTATTGCATTTTTGGGTTCCTTTCAGATCACTTTACATATACCTAAGATATAAATAAATATATTTCGATAGTTTCAGAGATATTAAAAAATAAATCAAAAATATATATTTTTCAGCCCTTCTTAAAAAAATTATTAAAAATACAAGAACTGTTCTGAAATCAAAACTATATGAGGTATTTACTTTAGATGGTCTGTTCTTACTTTGCTATAAATATGGTAATCGTAAATCATACAGGATGTTCAATATTCAACGCCAAACTTTCTAAAATATGAAATAATTTTTCTTTGTTTTTTTAAATGGAACACCCTGTATATTATTTTTTTATTAAATGGAGAGTTTAAAGATGAACATTTTTTATATTTAGAGTATTTCAAAATTTTTAACGGTTTCGCAGATACACGCAGTATTATTTCATATGGCGCTTTTAATGGTAAAATACGAGAGAAAAATCATTGGGTGGCTTTGATAAAAATTTACTGTGGAAAATGCCATATGAAATATAAAACCGCAAATATCTGCGAAACCGTTAAAAATTTTGAAATACTCTAAATACAAAAAATGTTCATTTTTTAATTCTCCATCTATTGACAAAATAATATACAGGGTGTTCCATTTAAAAAAAAACCAAGAAAAATTATTTTATATTTTAGAAAGTTTGGCGTAGAATTTTGAACATCCTGTATAATTTAAGATTTTCATATTTATAGCAAAGTAAGTACAGACCATCTAAAGTAAATACTTAGTATAGTTTTGATTTCAGAACAGTTCTTGTATTTCTAATATTTTTTTATAAGAAGGACTGAAAAATACCGTATGATCGAATAAAAAAGGCGTCAACGATGGCTATGAAATGAAGATCGCTGTCATTTTATATGTAAAATTATATGGGAAATGTCATCGATCGTCATTTCCAAGCCAACTGGACGCCGTTTTTTTTCGATCATACGGTATATATTTTTGATTTATTTTTTAATATCTCTGAAACTATCGAAATGTATTTATTCATATCTTAGAGTTATGTAAAGTGATCTGAAAGGAAGCAAAAAATGCAGTAATATACAGGGTGTTCCATTTAAAAAAAAATCATCCAGATCCACTCACACTTTTTTGAGCCACCCTATAGAAGTTAAAATATTTTCCTGAAATACATCCTGGTACATACTTTAGATTTGCACTTAAACAAAATTCTCAAGTTTCTTATTCTAGGGGCTACAGATGCCCGACGCACTATTGCCGGACCCTGTATTTTTATCATATTTTAAGTTCATGTTAAGTTCTCACAAAGGAGTACCATTTCAGAGGGTAATATTTCTTTATATTGTCACTTGGTAAAAGCATAAATGTCAAGAGACAAAATAGGTATTAGTTAAAAAATTATAAAAGTAAAATTGGTTGACGAATGAAGATTTTTTATAAAATTTATACTAGAAAAACAACCAACTGATCAGATAATAGTCTTTTTTTTTATTAAAAGCCAGATTCTTTCCGCATTTCTTGTTTTTTTTTTCGATTTGAACTCCGAAAAAAAGGGTATTCGTCGCATATTTTTATTTATCAGGTCGCACGATCGCATAGCTGTTGTGTTGGAAGTTGGAGCCATTGATTATTTTCATGCGGTTTGAATTCGGTCCTTTTAAATCGGTCACAATTTTGACATGTAACTTTTTTATTTTCGACACCCTATAGAACTCTAAATTAACCTACATATGCTCACAAAATTTCATTTCAATACAAACTATCGTTCTCCTTGGAGCCTCCGCGTCATATAAGAGACGCCACCCCTATATTTAATAATATAATATTTTTGAATATTACGAATTCTCTTTTCGTTTCAGAGGTTTCTAAGCATTGGCCACCCTGTATGCGACTGATCGTTGAAACCACCGAGATTCCCAAAATAAAGCAGGGCTCTCTATACATAATAACCTGCGATGGGGGTACAGTAGGAAGGGAAGGAGACCATTCAGTGCTACTTCCCGACATCAACGTTAGCAAGCACCATCTCAAAGTGTCTTTCGACGGATCGAAATATACCGTGATCGACTTGGGCTCTCAAAACGGAACTTTGTTGAACGGAAAACGGATGTCTGCGGCGAAGCAGGAAAGTGAGGCCGTGGAAATAACTCACGGGAGTAAGCTGCAGTTGGGTTCGACCACTTTGCTATGTCATATTCACGACGGTAATCAGACGTGCGGCCACTGTGAACCTGGTCTTCTAATGGGGGATGACAAAGGTATGAAATGGTATTTAAATTATTATTGATTGATTAACTTGATTTATTATTGATGCTAGAGTTAAAAAAATTGGCGCCGGGAGACACGTATAGCCGCCCATACTAAAATATGTTAATATCTCGAAAACGGCGACTTTGACTGATTTTGATATTACAAATTCTGTTGCAAATATTATTCCTAATCTTAATTTGAAAACCGCGTTTCGCTAGCTACTGTAATTTTGGAGTTACGATTTTTGAAAATTTTTAACCCCCTCCCATACCCCCTTACCAACCCCCCACCCCCACCAAAATCTAATGGTCAGATTCTAGGGTGCTATAGTATTTTTGTGCTAAATTTGGTTAAAATCGGTTCAGCGGTTTTTGAGTTATCGTGTTACAGACGGACAGACAGACGCACAGTGGGGTATTTGACACAGATAGTTGATCGAATTTTTTTTATGTAGACCTTGTATAAATTATTGCTATTTTCAATTAAAAAGGAAATAATATGAACAAAATAAAGGATAATTCTTCGATTCTAAAAAAAGAAAGAAAAATCACTGTTCCAGTGTTTCCAGTAGTAATATCGCAACTAATACTACTAATGCTACGACTGATCCGCGAGCAATGCCCATACCACTAAAGTCGCTATTAATGCCAAATTGTGCTATACTGCTAATGGCACTAATGCGATCGCTTTGTACACAACAATGCCATCGCGGTTTACACCTCGCATTAGTATATCACTGATTGGCAAATTAGAGGAAACCAAGAATGTTTTTCTCATTTTATCAGCGAAGTCGCAAAAGGTCGCAGTATTTTATTTTACTGTATGAAAGCCCAATGTTTACTAAGTGAAACGTATATAGACAATAAATGTCACAAATTTAATCAAATTTTCTGAACGCCTAACTTTTAGTTGCAAAAAAATCGTTAGTATAGAGAATATCAAAACAAATAATACGTTTTTGTAGAATACATACCTGCAGCTTGCTGAGCCATTTTCAATCAAAACAATAATATAAACGTAAAAAGAGCAATTTTAAAAAAAATGTGCTAAGATAAAAATGTGGTAAACTGTCAAGTTTAAGCTGCAAATAGATTCAGTTGTAAGTACGAGCCCTAACAACTATATGTTGGGACAAGGTCTTTTTTTGCAATAAAAATAGTAATTTGTTAAAACGATTCAATTTATTTTGTTTATTATTCTAAATTCAAACATTACAATATGATATATGATCTAGACAATTTTACTATATTTTTATAACTTTGCAAACAAATCACTTTTGATAATAGCTTATTTTGCCAAAATCAAGCTAAATTTGCTAACAACTATATATTACAGCACAACAAGAAATTTGTTTAATACGGAGTTACATCAACTTTCGCCTTAACAACTGCCTGCCTGAACTTTTAATGACATTGTATTTATAATAGCGTTTGAACCAGCATCAGAGTAAGAAAAATCTTCGGATTGTTACAGGAGTATTAACAGGACATCACGGTCTCCTCAATTAACACCTCAATAGTTTGAAGCTGAAGAAACAACGGCTAATGCAGAGATACCAAAGATTGGTACATTTGAAGAGAAAAATTATCCCAAATTTCCTGCAGTTTTGTCCGCAAATCAAAAATTGTTCGTTGAGGGTGGTTTCTTAAATATTGCTTCATTTTATGCCACACAGTTTCTATAACATTGAGGTCCGGACTTGCAGGATAGGATAGAACTAGATATTATTATTACTCTCCAAAATAATTTGAAGAGGAGGTAAGTCGAGTAGGGTTTCCATAGTTTTTGACGGCGTAGAATGAAAGGCACCAGTCACCGCTAAGCATGCTTGTCGTTATAATTTTGACAGTTTATTCTTTGCCGTTGTTTGGTTGGCTTTCTGCCACCAGGGAACTGCACCATACGTGATAATAGGTTTGATGGCTGTCACGTATAGACAGCACATATTTTTGGGGTTTTATCCCCAGTTTCTACCACAAATTCGACGGCATACCCATAGAGCATAGCAAGCCTTTTTTTATATTTTTTTCAGATGGGAGTTCCAGCTAAGTTTTTTGTCCAGGGTTAATCCTAGATACTTAACTTCCTCCGCAAACGGAATTGTCTCACCAAGAAGAGTGGGCGGTTTTAGTTTGCCTGTTTTCCTTCTTCTGGTGAATGGTCCTGTGATAGTATATGACATAAATTAGGATTGATTGATGTATTCAATTGTTTTTGATCACTTCCTGTTTCGCCGGAAATGACTACAACTTTTGTTTTTTAAATGGCACCCTCGGTATTTTTAAAATTACATTTTGATTAGAATGACATATCATATGTCAACTTTTGACATTCTCGCTTAATAAAAAATTGTATTTTAAAATTCAATCTAGAGTGCTCTGGCTATGCTAAAAACACTAATAATTCTTTATCAAGGAGCCTTGGAAAAATAGATTTGATCGTCTAATGTTTTTATTGTCTTGTCCTGGCCGGTTAGAAAATGCTCAAGTCGTATTTTTAATCATATCTCAGTTTTTTCAAATGGAACGAGGGTGGCTCATTAGCACATTTGGAAAAAGTATTTTTTTACGAATATTTTGATACCACACACTTGGTATTCCGAGTCAAATTTTCGTTACGAACCGCAAGTTATAATTTCAAATAAACCATATGCGAAAATGTCAAAAGTTGACATACGATATGTCATTCTATTCAGAGTGTTATTTTCTATCGAATAAAGTAAAGAAATACCGAGGGTGCCATTTAAAAATCAAAAGTTGTAGTCATTTCTGGTAAAACAGGAAGTGACCGAAAACAACTGTACTTATACGTCAATAAATCCTAATTTATGTCATATACTAACATACCAAATCTCGTTTTTTTAACTGAAAAAATAAAAAAGTTATCGGGGTGAGCCACTTTTGAGACGCATCCGGTATACCTACCCTGCTTTGCTTTGCACTGCACGCCACTGAATACAAGTCAGTAAAAAATATACACAAATTCACAAATATGGATAAATCAATAAAAGATTGCGTGTAGTTTGCGAAGAATATTGAACTAATTATATGATTTTTCGTATTATTATGAACTGGCATAAATATGTTTTATTTTTTAGAATACTTTACGGCTCTTAGTAAAAACAAGACAAATATAAATCAACAGTACAAAAAAGAGTTAAGAAAATTAAAAAAGCAACACGGCTTCTTGGGTAGCGAGGAATCGGGAAAATTGGCAACAGGGTATACTGACAGGGCTCAGAAACGCAGAGAGACTATAGGGAGTCAGAATCCGTATGAAAAAACTCAAACTGCTTCGTTGGAAGAGTAAGTTTATTAGTGATTTTTATGATTTAATTATTGTTATGTGTTAGTTGTTTAATTCTGTAAGACTTAATTATTGTATTTTTAGAGCAATACCGTCAGAAAATAAAGGCTTTAAGTTACTGTCAAAAATGGGCTGGAAAGAGGGTGAGGCTTTGGGCAAAGATGGTAGTGGAGCTGTTGAACCAGTAAGTATTTTTTTAATTTTCTGGAAACTATGGATATTTTCAGTATTTCAAATGCAACCCCTATATTTCGCATTATTATTTACCCCATAAACGTTCACTCTGTATATATTTGTTAATTTTATTCTAGATTAAGTTATCATCCAATGTTGGTACTTCGGGAATCGGAGCTGCTCCAGTACCAACTTCAATACCAAACGACGCCAAAGTGACTATGTGGAAAAAAGCGCAGGAGCGTTTTGAAAAGCTACCTTCTACTCCAATTTTTGACGAAAATGAAGATTAAGCTTTGTTTTATGTATTTAAACAGATAAATAAATGACTTTGTTTTATGATTAGTGATTTTTTTCATAAATTTCCATAAAAATAATTGTTTTTTGGGATTCATTTTGATCTTGTGGTGTATGACTAGTTGCCTAATGTTAATCTGATAAATCCTTTGAATAAAGATAAATCAGGATAAATCCGAAACTTCTGATAATATACAGAGTGGTCAAGTTTAGTTATTTATTGGAATATTAAAATACCATCGTATGGTATTCTCAAAGGGTATTCTAATACATATCATTACATCTATACAATATCAATATATTCAAGCTTGCCTTACATTTCCTCAGCTATTAATTTTTATTTGAAATTACATTAGATTTTTTAAAGGCTGTACTTAAACTGCCGTTAAACGGTAGCTTACTAAATTGCCGTTAATAGGTATGACGTCGTTGATGTGACGCACTTGACGGCTATATGAAATATAGGAATTCGATAGGAATTTTATAAGGACTAACCAACGCTATCCGCCCCACCAAATAACCAACGCAACTAACCTCGACACTGATAAAAAATATAAAAAACAAATATAAATTAGTAAAAGTCAACCAACCCCACCAAATAACCAACTAACCAATGAATTAACACCCTCCAAATAACCACGCTAACCAACCCGCCAAATAACTAAACCAATCCAACCAAAAAGAGTGAAACCAATGCAATAAGATCACGCTATAAGCAAAAAAAATATAAAAAAGTCTTGGTCGGCGTGAGATTTGAACCACGGACCATTCGCTTACGAAGCGATAGTCTCAGCCACTAACCCACAGATGCTCTTGCAAAATGCTTAAGGCTAGGCATTACTTTCCTCCATGACCGACGTCACAATATCTATTAACGGCATTTTAGTAGGCTACCGTTTAACGGCTGTTTAAGTACATTGTTTTTTAAATTGTCAAAGTAAAAGCTTAGTCATAATAAAGCTGTTCGATTTAACGGCATTTTCATTAAATCTAAAAAACATGAATTTCTTACTTACTGCTATTACTTAATTTAAGATGGTTGCGCAAGGTCTCTTTCAAGAACTTTTTTGTAACTGAAATGCATGATACGTAATGTTATCTTTCTTCCTTCTTACCCTCTATAAGCTCACCGTAAAGAAGAGTTTTCAGTAAGCGGTTTTCTTGCATCTTGCATACGTGACCAGCCTATCTTAAGCGGGATCATGACTTCAGCGCTCTCGCATCAGCTAGCTTTTTCAAGGACCGATACGTTCACAGGATACGTTGGACACATACTGGTACAATATTTGATTTTTAACTGTTATCTAAAAAGCTGCGTATAAATATGTCGAGACGAGTGCGAGAGACACCCGAGACGAGTCAACCTCAAGCGGATTTGAGGTTGGCTCGTCATATTTGGACGGGGTCTGAGCTTCGAGCCGAGCCTATGCCCAGTCGGACGGCGTTGTCTCCATTTTTTCCGGAGCCTTTTGCGAACCATCAAAAGGATTGGGGCGTCTATTTAACCAGTGGCGTATACACCGCGGCTCTGCGGAACAAGTGCCTCGAGTCTCAAGGGGCTCGGATTCCACATCCCATTTTTATATAAAAATAAATATTCTTTCCTTTATTTGTAATAATGTTAATAATGCATCCTAACTAGAAAGATGCAATTTTGTCTTCTCTAAAATAGTATAGGTAAGTTAGCCAAAGTAGGTAAATCTCATATACAAAGATTTGTTAGTGATTTCTTTTATAAAAACATGAAAATTTTATGAAAAATGAATAAACGTAATGAACTTTTCGTCGAGTTATTAACGGCTCAAACGTAAATTATGCGCTATTTCTGCTCTAAACAGGAATTAAAGATGTAAAACAAGTCGAATTAGGTCTTATCTTACAGCGCTTTCAGATGGAACGGAGCGTCCGTGACTTCGAGCAAGTACCATGAGCTTCTATGAACAATTTCACCTGGGTCGCGTATGCTCCGTCCGGATGAGCTATCTTGAAAAAACATCCGTGCGGACGCTCTGCGCGTACGGTCCGCTCCATCTGAAAGTGTGCTGTTACTCTATTTAAAGATTTTATAGATATACAAACCACATACAAAATATATTATTGAATAAAATAATTAAAGACTCAAAAAACGGCACTGGCAAAAGGCTCCGCCGCCGCCGCTGCCGTGCCGTTGTCTCCAGGTATCTCAGTCGGCGTTCTCCAGTTTTTTTTAATGTAAACAGTCCGTAACCAGTCATTTTCAATATAATTTAAATTTATCATGAATTCCTTTAATTTATCTAGCTTGTTTTTTTACCTATTTTGAAAATAAACAAACATATACAAGGTGTTTCAAAAAACATGTTCCATCTCTCGTGGGGAAGTTCCTCACGTAAAAATAAGATTTATTTTTTATATCAACTAATCCAATTCTGCTTTGATTCGTAGCTACAGGAGGTTAAAATAGGGTTCCCAGCCGTCCTCTATTCCAGAAACAGTCCTCTTTTTGATCTGATTGTCCTCTTTTCTCTCACGTATTGAAAACTTTGTTGCATACCAACTTCAAAATCTAAAAAATATTCGTTTATCGCCACAATGCTTTAAAGAATTGTTAATCTGTGTCTTTTATGTAATTTTATGTTTACTTACTGTTAGTTTATGTGTTGAAAAAAAGTTATTTATATTGTTTATTTTAATAAGTTTTGAGTATAAATATTTTTGTTTGTTTTAAATATTTATCGCATACCGTTTATATAACTTTTTGGTAAATTCTCGACATTTGAGCGACGTTTCAAAAATGTTTCGCCTGTGCCTCTTTTTATCTTCTCGCCACTATTTTTTATTTTCAAAGTTGCCAACCCTAGGTTAAGTGTTTTATCATTTTCTTCCAAGTGGTTTTAGTAATTTGAGATCGTTTGATGACTGATTTAGTTCTGATTCTGGTAGTTTTTTGTATAAAACAGTGCCACAATCGTCGATTTTTTTCGTTAAATGCGAATAAGAAAATATCCTGATTATATTCTGGCCTTATCCCTTATTATTTTTATTTACAAGCGATCTTAAATTTATAAATTTATAACATATACATATATTTTATTTAATTGTTAACATTAGGGTAGTTTTACCAATTGTATATGTGTGGAATTCCACTGATATGTGTTTTAAGTTGTTTGTTAAATTTTTAAAATTTTTTGATTGTATTTTATTCTCTTAACTTTGTAGTGTCCTGAAGATGCAAATAAATTTTGCGAAACGTCGACAAATTTAAAACAAAGGACTTCTGTTGATTTTTTTCGATCCTAATCCAATTAAAAATCACAGTATACTTAAATTTATAATTAATTTTTTAAAATATTGAATGGTATCGAATCATACTTTAATATATTTATCAATATTTTAAAGTATCGATACTTTATATTCAATACAACCGATACCAAAATATCGATACTACCTCAGTATCGCATAGCCCTATGAAGAATTTTGTGGGTTCGTCAAAGGCTCCACTGAAAATGGATAGCCGCGAGACAACGCCGTTCGACTGGGCAGGGACTCTGCTCGAGGCTAAATCGCTCGGCTCGAGGCTATAATATGACGAATTCCGCTTGAGGTTGACTCGTCTCGTCCTCGTCTCGGCATATTAGTACGCCTTTTGGAAAGAATTTGCTATAGCCTCGTTTCATACTCGTTTCGGGTTTGTCTCGTACTTGCCTCGGCATATTTATACGCGGCTTATGACGTGTCCCTCTTGCAACTTGTTTAATGCGTTCATGTGCCGACGATATATACGGCACCCAGGTTTCGCTTATACAGCGTGCTACAAATTCGAGGTACGAGCATTGGTATCTCGGTAACCGTAATAGATACGAACATAGTTAAATTGGAATAAAGTTGCGCTTTAAGATGTTCACCAAGATGCCATCAAAAAAGTTTAAAAAATTTAAGGATTGCTGAGTTTCTTGGAAAAAAAACGGTTTTTTTTCCTGTCGTTACTTTTTAGAAAATCAAAAAACTAATTGCACATTCTCATTGTCACTTTATTAAGGCTATCTGACAGTATTTTTAGATTTTTTAAAATAGCTGATAATTTGTGAGATAGAGAGGCCAACTTAATCTTTTTAAATACGGACCTGCATTTTTTATTTCGGATTTTGAAAGAACTCGGTCTCCTGAGTATATTGATATGGTACACTTATTTTTTTTTATTTTAGACATTTGAACACAATTTATTTAAACCAAAGCACGGGTCTGTTTTTTTTAATATTTAATCTATTTATCGTTACAATACTGATAAGCTTTCAAACTTAACAATAACGTGGGGTAAAATATTGAATACGAAAAATCAAATGCAATAAGATAATAAAAAATAATATAAAATAAACAATATAAAAATATAATATGTAAACAATCAACAATCAAATCATTTCAAAAAATGAAATCAATACATTTCAACATTTACAATAAAGAGTACAAAATATATACATTCGGAAGTATAAGAAGATCTGTTCAAAGAGCTATAAGTAAGATTGAACGAAAAATAAATTTGTGCATTAGGGAGGGTGCGTGGTACCCTTTTGAACATGTAGAGCATTAGAAACTATAGTTTGTAGAAGTTGATTTATTTATAATAACTACGATTAATATTATGCATATTATTAGATAGTACACTGAGATTTTAAGTTCACAATAAAAAAAATTAAAAAAATATCTTTAAATTGCTGAATTAGATATTATTTAATTGAATCTTTCAATTGGCTGGATTTTTCTTATTCAATATTAATTAGTGCTAATACGTATTGTTGCGATGAATGCAATCAGATGAAATAATTTAAAAAACCAAAGTCGGACTTGAAATTATTTTAAATCATAATTAAATAGTTTTGTTATTGTTAAAGTACCCAAAACAAAAAAAAGTATCAAGTGTGGCATATCATTATACACAGGAGACCGAGTTCTTTCTATACTTGAAATAAAAAATGCAGGTCCGTATTTAAAAAAAATTAGTTGGTTCTCTGTATCTCACAAATTATCAGCTAATTGGAAAATCTAAAAATACTGTCAGATAGCCC